TCGGGTTGCCATATCATCTGATATCCTGCCGCCCTATGACTGCCCGCCCAAGGAAGAAGTCCCCAGCATTAATTAAGGCAAATATCTGCATGTGTGTGCGTCCTGTGTGGGGGTGTGTGGGTAAGTGTGTGGGTTGTGGTTTTAGGTAAGGTTACATCGCTTTATCCGGCTACAAGGGCAGCTGAGCGGAAACACTGAGGCCTGCAACCAGACCAATTCAAGCAAAAAATGAAAGCAGTGCTCAAAACTCAGGCACAGCATCTCAGCATTGCAGATACAAATTTGGCGAATGGTAACACATCAGCTTGGTTCACGAAGTCTCTGAGGCGTGTTGGACTACCAGGAGGTGCACAGTTGAACAAATGATGGAACTGAGTGCGCAAATCTGTCAGATCCTGAGAAGGGCACTCCAGAATGATGTACTCTTCATCTTGCACAGTGTGCCAATCGCATTTGTGTGGAGGTAGAGCATTGAATTGCTTACAGACCAGCTTTCTTTGCTCTGTTTACATTTCATCCGCTCCCTAAACAGCTCTCCCATGCCCACAATGCCCAAACTCTTTTTAGAATGCCAAGTTTGTGGCCGCACGCTTCACACCTAGTGTGCCCTTCAAGAAACTCATATTGCGCTCTCGCAATTCACTTGAAATTATCAACTCATCAGGATCCAACATGCCCGTGTTTTCGGTTGGTGGGGTACTGTTGGCCCATAGGGAATTTCAACTTGAAATGCACCACGTCTGGCTTAGCTGTCTTAATGACTAGGTGGCTTCCTTTGTGCATACAGATCCAAGAGATTTAGCATAGTTTGCATTGCATTGGGTTCATTTGCAGTCAATGTTGAGTCATCAGCATACAACTAATATGTCACATGCATGCCATCTGTCCCTGTGACAGCACCACGCACCCCTTCAGCGAGGACGTCTATGTCACTCACGTAAGGAAAAGAGCAGAGGCGATAGAGGGCAGCCTTGCTTCACACCAGTGTTTGGATGCACACGGGCAGTCTTCTCTCCATCCTTGAGAATGCATTGAGATTGCAGATGGATCTGATTCGTGCATGTTCTGAGTGATTCTCAGGTAAGGAGTGGGCATGCAGGTGCGCTGCAAGTGTTGCCTAAGTGCTTGCCTTGGAATGGTGTCATGTGCTTGCTTTAAGTCGTTGAATGCCGTGTGCAGATGCTGGACTGCCCTGGTTTTAACATGCGTGCTTGATGCTGCAAGAGCTGAAAAATCTAAATGGGATGGAGTGTAACGCGGGATAGAAAACAAACTAAATGTCTGAGATCTTTTAAGATGTTGCGCATGATTCAACTGTAAGAAAGCTTTTGAATAGAACTGTGCTTTAGAATAGATGTTGCCAGTTGTTTTCAAACTCAGCACTCCGTTGATGAGCCTCCAGTGCTTGAAGGATTGAGGCAAAGGTGCCAAGCTCTGATCAGTCAAAACAGCCATAATAGCAGGCCCGAGTTTTTGGCCCGTCTCCCATTAAATTTGTGTCCTGCTATCCTTTCCTTCCTTTCAGGTTTGAGTTCCTTAGATACTTTGTATGCTAAAGCTCCATTTCTGGGCCGCAACTCTGCCTCAGTGTTGGTTTGTGAGTGCTGTGCTGGAAAACTTGCTGGGGGTGCATTTTCAAAGCTTTTGATCAGAAAAAGTGGGTTCGTAAGTCCAAAGTGAGTCTGTTAAGATGACATGTACAGGGCATTGAAGGGGTACAGACAGCAAGTCCAAATTATGTCCAGTCCACTCATTGATACACACTGAATTCACAACAAGTCTGTTTGCAGGACATTTGCAAGTCATGCACGGTGAGTCTGTTTTCAGGACATACACGGATACTTACAGGACGCACAGGACAGCGTATGGTCTGTGGTCCACAGTTAGTCCAAAGTCTGTTTGCAGGACATTTACAGGTGAGGTAAGGTTACATCGCTTTATCTGCCTACAAGGGCAGCTGAGCGGAGGCTTAGAGGTCTGTAACCAGACCAATTTAAGTAAAAACGAAAGCATTGCTCAAAGATCAGGCACATCATTTCAAGCATGCAGGCACAAACTTGGCTAATTCTAAGACATTAGCTTGGTTCATGAAGTTCTGAGGCGAATTGGACAACCGGGAGGAGGTGCACAGCTAACAAATGATGAAACTGATTGCGCAAGTCTGTCAGATCCTGGGAAAGGGCACTCCAGAATGCTCTTCGTCTTGCACAGTGTGCCAATCGCATTTGTTGCAAATCCTGAGCTCGTAAGGGCACCTATTCCCGTGATGCCATTGGGTTTTCACCCAAAGATTGTGACTAGACATTTACAGGTCATACACGTTGAGTCTGCTTTCAGGATATGCTTACAGGACGTATAGGACAGCAGATGGTTGGTGAGTCCACAGTTAGTGTCCATAACCTGGTTCAAACATGGTTGTAATAAAACTATTTTAGTGTGTCCATCACATGTGCAAAGCCTCCCATCATATTCATACCCCCAGTGCCCAACCATGCCTGTTCCATGCATCTGTAAAACGTTTCTGGGCCACGTTCAGTACTGGAAATTTGCTCCAGCTCCTTTGGCTGGCCAGAGACCCTGGAATAGAACTGCACACCAGGAGTTTCAAGAAGAGTAGTTTGCCAATGGGTGCATGCAATAGGAGCTTGACTCATTCAGCGCCTCTAACTATCGATACATTGTCTGCCTGGTATGCTGCAGGTACATTTCCCCAAGCATCCTGGATGTCACAAAGCTGGGCTCTGAGGCATAAGCTCTTGTGAGGCCTGAAACCCAGAGGCTGGCTGTAGGTAGGTCGTCAGGATAGCCTTCCTGTGTAAAAGGAAGCCGTATGTGCTATGAAGGAAGAAAGGAAGGAAGGAAGGAAGGAAGGAAGGAAGGAAGGAAGGAAGGAAGGAAGGAGTGTTTTCGCTGAGGGCGATTCGAACCCTGACCTCCCGAAAGATCGGCGCATGTCCGAGCGTCTGTACCCCACTGGTTTTGCGCCTGGAAGCCTTTTGCATAATGATGGAGTGAGCTTTGTAATGCTGACTATGGGTGGAGGGCTACCTCAGATGTAAAAGCCGTAGCAGCACTCCAGCAAATATACGCCTAAATAGGCTATCATGACGGAGGGAGCTCTCTATTGCTGCTTTTGCACTCAGGCCTGCCGGATACGGACAAGGGAGGAGCAGGACCACCCTTTCTGCTGCGAAATGTGCGGCAGGAAATGCAAGTCTGCTGAGGATTTGTCCAAGCATGTTAAGCAGCTGCATGAGCGGAGTTCAAGAAGAATTTGAGCCGCAAGTGAGTGAGCATTGCCAGCAAGGTTGTGCGCATACCAGGAGAGGAAGAGGAAATGAGCCACACGTGAGATTGGCTGCACGAGCTCAGGAAGAAGCTGAGCTGCGAGAGAGTGTGCGCAAGCAAGGTTGGTTTCTGAAAGCTGAAAAAGAGATGCTAAGTCAAGAGCGAGTGTGCGCCACAAGCAAGGTCGGGTGCTCATGTTGGTGATGGAAAATGAGGTGCAAAGCCACAAGTAAGTGTGCTTACAAATGAGCATGCCATGTCCGGGATACTTAATGAGCAGCATGTGTGTATGCCTCCAAATTATTGGCTGCATAAAATGAAGGTTTGGAGGGTTACAAGGGTTTGGCCTGCAAACCAAGCCTCCGGTTGATCGGCCGCTGGTGAAACATCCTCGTCCAGCACCAAAAACTGAAACCAATTCTGACAAATATTTTGAAAACCTGCACGATTCTTGATTTAGAATGGCATTGGTCTCAAGGTCAGTCAAAATGTGAAAGCTCGCCAAGAAAGGGATACAGACATTGTTTGGAGGCTGGGCAAAAGCATGTCTTGGTTTGAAAAGATTAATAAACAGGTCCCTCTATTTCCTGCGCAGCTCACGCACCCCAAAGCATTTGCAGTACAAGAGGACATGTTTCTTGTTCTGCACCTCAGCACACTCACACTTTTCACAAATATTCGAACCACCCAGCCCTCTACAGGACTCAACCTGGGCACGAAGCCTAAACCTACTCACATTCTTCATGACTCCTTTATCCAGATCCTTGAATGAATATGATGGGATACAAAAGGGTGCACGTTCTGCTTGATCTGAAGGTTTTCCGCACCAATGATGGTAAGTCACCACTTTCCTGTTCACCTCCCGTGGACTGAGGGCATTCCCTTCCCTCCATACTTTCTGCTGCCTGTACCTCAAACCCCCTAAGAAATCCTGCATGGGAATCTCAAAAGTACTCAGCATCTTCTCCTTGAATATTTCCTGCCATTATTAGTGGCTGTAGACACATGTGCAGACCAACAAGACACTTCCCTATGAGCAAGGTGTAAATCCGCCTTCAACACTTTACATTATATCTCGCTGTTTGAATCAAGAATACTGTTGAAACCTTATAGTGCCCTAAACCAACTGCAAAGGCTCTTGGCCCTCTCAACAGGCTAGTGGATGGGCTGTATGATGGTGGGCAAGACGCACCTGCTCCACGGCAGCTTCCCTATCCACACCCTAAAGCAGCTGGTGTGAACACAATTGATGTCAACACTGATTGATTGGTCTTTCCTCAATGCACACTGGAAACTTTCCAATTAAAGGTGGCACATGTTGGTTTCCTTCTGGGTCCGTCTTTTGTCTTTGAGTGTGAAAGCAGGCATCATGTCATGCTCACTTGCAACTTCCGAAAGCTTGCTCGGAAGCTTCATGCTCATTCTGTCCTATATGCTTATAAAGTTGCCAGCACCAGACGCGCTCTTGAGAAGAACTTTTCCAACTCCCCACAAGGTCAGGCATGGGCTACTGCTAGTAACACACCTGATCCCCACTGACATCTTTCTTCTGCTTTCTCTTGATGAAGCGGATACACGGTGCCTCAGCTTAAGGTATCCCCTTTTCCTTGATTGATGTGGGGAGTGTTTTCACTGCCTGCGTAGTTTTTCTTTTCTTTTTTTTTGCAACTTCCACATGATACCAATAGTAGGGGGATGGCCTCCTTAAATTCGCTCGTGTAGCTCAGGGAGAGCGCAAGACTGAAGATCTTGAGGTCCCTGGTTCGATCTCGGGCGCGAGCAACTAGTAATGGGAATAGGGGTTAGAGGATGGGCTGTATGACGGTGGGCAAGGTGCACCTGCTCCACAACAGCTTGCCTCTCCACACCCTAAAGCAGCTGGTGAGGACACGATTGGTGTCAACACTGATTGTTTGGTCTTTCCTCCATGCTCGCTGAAAACTTTCTAATTAAAGGTGGCACATGTTGGTTTCCTTCTGGGTCCGTCTTTTGTTTTTGAGTGTGAAAGCAGGCATCATGTCATGCTCACTTGCAACTTTCGGATAATATCAATGGTAGGGAAGTGGCTTTGTTAAATTCGCTCGTGTAGCTCAGTTGGGAGAGCGCAAGACTAAAGATCTTGAGGTCCCTGGTTCGATCTCGGGTGCGAGCAACTAGTAATGGGAATAGGGGTTAGAGGATGGGCTGCATGATGGTGGGCAAGATGCACCTGCTCCACAACAGCTTGCCTCTCCACACCCTAAAGCAGCTGGTGAGGACAC